AACACAGATTGACCACCAGAAATTATCAAAATTTACAGTGACAGTTAAACTTTTTCAACTAAATTACTTTCGAATGCCCGAAAGTCACAGCGCCCCTGAGTGTTCCCTGACTTTTTCCCTCCCCTACTAGCTTCACCTACAAGCACACCTGATCGAAGATCTACAGATGTGTGACTTTTCTGTCTATTAACAGTAATTTACCGCTTCCCTCTTCTTAGACCAGAGAGGGTCGGCCTGTCCAGACGGTTGGGTGCGCCATGGAAATTCCTGTTTCCTCATCATCGACACTACAACCTTGGAATGGAAAGACGCCAGACGAAACTGCCAAAGGTTCGGCGGAGATCTCGTAAAGATCACATCGAGCGCAGAGAATCAGTTCATCTTCGGGCTCCTCCTCAAGCAGAAAAAAGTAACCCTATTTGGTGTATGGCTTGGTCTCCATCGTAAGGCAGACAATAAGTTCTACTGGGCAGATGACACTCTACTAACTGGCTACAATGCTTGGTTTACACGTGAACCAAATTCGCTCTCAGAGAAATGTGGTCATATGTGGGGAACAGGTTCCGCGAAAGGAAGATGGAATGATGTTTATTGCAGTCTTGACGTTTCACGGCACGCCAAAGATGCCCCTGTGATTCTTTGTCAGAAAAAGGCTAATCACTAGTTTACTTCAAGTAATATCGGTGGTGTTGGGATTCTTGGGGAAAAAAACTCAATCAAAGTATCGATGGACTTGCTTGTAAGAAAATAATTAAAAAATAAAGGTGTTGGTTTAGGTATCGAGTTGTTGAGAGGTGTAGATTTTGTTTCATTGTGGCTTTCCCGCCCCATGTGTCTAGGAGGTTCACTTTCCCAAAATAAAACAAGAAAACTCAAAAGAAGCTGAGTAAACATAGACAAAAACTGAAGGGATGGTCCTCGACAACATGATTTTGTTTGAAAGTCTCCAAGTGCGTCTGTTAGAGACAAATGCGTCGTTTTTCGTTTTAGCCACCAAGCTCAAAATCAACCATTTTCATTTCCACCAGTAGAGTGCATGTTCATTTACGCGCTTTACATTAGACGGAGGCTACTTGGAGAAGAACACCCAGACACAGCTGACAGTCAGCGGTTATTCAGATTGACGGGATGCTGGGAAGTATGCGTTCGTAGAAGAAAATTCAAAAACAGCCGACCTCAAGCCACCTTTGCATTCTGTAGAGCATGGTTTAATCTGGTGGCCAATTGAGCCAATAGATTCATTTTGTTATTACTAGTATTAAGATTATTATTCTTGCAAATTATCAGCACTGCTATTTTCATGCTTTACTGTAAATGTTGTTTACCAGGGGAAACCTATATTGCAGCTGAAGGATTGGAATTTTTTTTCAATGTTTTGGGCGAACGCTATTAAAATTTATGAGGCTACGAGGAGTGCCATTCAAGCAATGAAAAATTTGTCATTGAGCTATGCTTAAGTGTCCCAGATTCAAGTCTCGCGGAGAAGGGCGAAGGTTGTTAACCCATTCACTCGCTGAAAGCATAAAGCGTTGCGGCATTAATTTACTCGAGGAATCGTTAGAATCATAAAACTAACGCACCTCTCGTGACAAGCGCTTGCTTCGCTTTATGAAGAGAATAGGTTATTTTCTTTTCCATACAACGTGTTACGTAGGCTTCAAATTCTCACCATGGCTGCTTGTTTAGCATGCGACTGAGCAGGTCCTTGTGCTTGTGTTGCTCCTGTCCTGGTTTTGACCTCGACTTGGTACACCAAGCTTCAGTAACTGTTTCTCCTCAATAGTCTTAAACAGGTTTTTACATAGCTCCACAAAACTTTATTCCCGTTTATATAAATAATTTTGCTTTACAAGCTGAAACCTGGCAACCCATCAGCTCGCTGAAGAATACATTGTCGGTCAAAGTTTGTCATACAATTTTACATTCGTACTATACAGTTGTCATTTAAAACTTAATGTGTCTCTTTTATCGTATGTGCATTTCTGATAACATTATTTGTTGTTCTTTAAAGATTTGCCCTCATCAAAGGCCACTTCAACTTTTATCTTTTGTAAACAATAAGATTACAGTTTAGCTCTGGGCGGGTAAAACATATAGCAAGGGTAGCAAATAAAAATTGAATCAATAAACATTACTGAAGCATGACATGTTAATAGAAAAAAGCATCCAAGTGGCTCATTTCTACAAGAACCAAAATTTGCTCGTTACCCTTTTAAATATTGATATAATTATCAATGACCTCATTACTGACTGAATTATTGCAAGGCAAATTAATCTTGTCCGAATAGACCGGTTAGCGGGTATAAACATGAAATCTCTGCAACTATCATTTTAAATATTGCAATATTCGTTCACTGCAGAAATCATTGTAAAATTGCGTTTAAGCAAAAAATTAAGTTTCACAATAGCACGAGTGTCTCTCAATGCATGTCGTCGTTTTGGCTGAAGCTAATTATTGTTGACTTCCGGGTTTCCTGTTGCGGTTGTTAAAACATCCTGTCAAACATTACTGGGAACAAAGGCGGCATCCCTTCTTTCAGATTTCAAAATAAAAAAAATATAGTAAAAAATTCCATTGAGTTCATCAGTATCCTTGTGTATTTGACGTGTAGCAGGCTGAAAATGTTCCTTGTTTATCTCGCTCCAAAGCGGTATGCTTGTAACCACAGCTGATCTTCTCTGTTCAGATTTTGCGGTCCACAGAAGTGGGAAACTCGGGATGGTTTTTTCGTTCCTTTACGGCTAACGGACGATTCATGTGATTTGCTAAACGTTTCGTTGGTGGGAACTTTCCTTATTTTCCTTCCATCTATGGCACAATCTCTCTTTCCTCTTTGTGTTCGCTGTCGTCTTCTTGGAAACAAAAATTGTAGACATCCACTGAGAAACAAGAAAGCTACAATTCCCGGTGCTCTCATAATTGCTCAGATTGTTTGTTTTTACTCAATAAAACATGCTGCGCAATCGACATAAAACCCTTGTACAGGCAATCATACTTTGTACTAGCCAGTCAACAATGAGCTACAATTTGACTTTCGCGTGAATTTGGCCATGCGCCCACATGTGATGTGACAAAGTTTTTCTGTTGACAGCATTACCGCATGATCTAAGTTTAAACTGACACTTATGTTATCCAGGCCGTACGTTATCGGTACATTATCAACGCGAAATATGATATTCCGCTTTTAACATTTAATCTGGTGGCCAATTGATTTATTATTATTTTAGGATTTAAATATACATACAGCACAGGCTTTTCAGTTTATGCTGTAACACGTAGTCAAATAGCTACAAAATTTCCGCGAGGGATGTATCCGTGAAAAGTTCTCCTCAAAAGTCACAGCAGATAGATTTAGAGAAACGTGACATTCATGCTACTTAGCTTTGCCAAGGGGCGGTACATATAACGTATCACAATACATTTTAAGTAAGTTGAACAGAAGAGTTTGAAACATCCAAAATAATATCTTAGTCAGGTATTGTCATTTTAGCATTAATCTTTTGGGAGGTCACAATGACTAAGAGCGCACAGTAGTTGGCGTTAATGATAGGAAGCTGTTTTTCATATTTTCTTTAGATGGATACCCTTTGAACTGTGATAGGGAAGAATCCTCAGAGGGGCTAGCAAGCCGAGAGTGGTCTGGGAATAAGGTCACGCAATGATCATGGCAAGGGCGCCTTCCTCTCGCTAAAACTTTTGCGCTCGCCAATTTCTCGCCACATAATTTTACATGGAGACCTGTCAATGAGCCCTTAGATTTCGCTTTGAAGCCCGCAAGGCAAGAGTAGTTTCATTTCTGGAAAAATAAAATTAGAGGAAAAGCTCTCCGAACTGGTTAGCCGTAATGATGACCGCTGGGATTTGTTGATTGGTTCGCTTCATCACCATTCTTCCCGGCCAACATGGCTGCTAACAACGATGTGGATAAGAGAGAAAAACAGTCTCCAAAATTAGTTGTTGCAATGGCTGATTTCGTCGCAGAAGATAACACTCAATTGAGCTTCAACGAAGGTGACGAAATGACTATTTTAAGCGAGAGTTCCAGTGTTTGGTGGTGGGCCGAACTAGATGAAATATGTGGATATGTTCCGGTGTCCTATGTGGTACCTGTTTCTGAGTACCTATCTCGGCACACACAGAATCACGATTGGCAGGATGAAGAGTACTTTGGCGCATACGGTAAAGTGAAAATCCACCTTGAGATGTTAAGCGATCATCCAAGAACTCTTGCTTATCGAAACGCCATCCAAAAGCATCGAGATGTTTTCATTGGAAAAACTGTCTTAGATGTTGGATGTGGTTCAGGGATTCTGAGCTTGTTTTGTGCTAAAGATGGAAAGGCAAGTAAAGTTTACGCTGTGGATGGAAGTGTAGATATCGGGGAACTGACCAAAGAACTCGTTGAAAGAAACGATTTACACAAGATAATCACCGTTATCACAGGAAAGATTGAAGAAATTGAGTTACCAGAGAAAGTTGACATTATTATCTCTGAGTGGATGGGTACTTTCCTTGTTTTCGAGTTTATGATCGACACAGTGCTGTATGCACGAGACAGATGGTTGAAGCCTGATGGTGTGATATGGCCTTCAAATGCAAAGTTATTTGTTGTACCTTGTTGTGCAGAAGAAGCTTATAAAGAGAAAGTTACTGCATGGAACAATCAATATGGTTTTGATTTTTCTCCTTTTCTTAACAGAGCTAAGACAGAAGTTCTTAACAGACCTTTGCATAACCATGAGCTTGACCCAAGGGACTGCTTGTCTCAAGGAGCAGTTCTTTTGGATATTGACATGTCCACGTTTGTGAAGGAAAATCTTGAACTGATGTCTGAAAATTTTGAGTTTGTGATTAGTAAGGAAGGTACATTACATGGGCTGTGTTCATGGTTCAGTGTAACTTTTGGAGGGATACCCATCACAGATACATCAGAATGTGTGATACTGTCAACAGCACCTGATCAAGAACAAACTCACTGGAAACAAAATCTTTTTCTACTAGAAGAGCCAGTGACTGTTCATGTTGGTAATTTTATTGAAGGTTCTGCCACCTTGAGACGAAATCCTAAATATAGACGGCATATGAATGTCACTTTTGAATTTAATATTTTTACTAGTGATTCAAAAGGAGAAATTGTTTATAGCAATAAGAAAAAATATTTTATTTGGAGATAGCAGATTTTAGTATGTCTTGAGAGAGTTAAGTATCTCCATGCTATATAAGCCTAATGTAAGAAGAAAAAAAAACCTGAATAACAAAAACTACTTAGTAGCAGATGTTTAAAGCAGATTTTGGACACCAGGACAGTTTTTCAATCAAACACATAAAGGTTTATTAAGTAAAATTCTTCATACAGTTTTCTATTAAAAGAAGAGATAAGTTGATACTGTTGACAGTTGTATTAGTAAGGATTGGTAAGGTCTCGCATTAGGTCGGCCAGTCGTTCTGAAGCTTGAACTGTCAGCTTATGTTTTGCTCCCAGCTGAGATCTATAAGCTTGTAAAATAACAAATTCATTTTACAATATTAACCTATGCATTAAGAAAGTAACTTGAAATGTAAAAGTATGTGAAAAAGGTTGTTACTTGTAAGTGTTATGTACACTCAAATCATGCAACATTTCCAAATCCTTTCTTTTAGCTATGTGACAGGCAAGATTGTACTCTGGAATTGAATTCCAGCCATCCTTAGGGGTATGTGGTCGGGACTAGATGCCAAACCTCTCATTTTACAGATAAAGGGCACAATATGCTGGCATAGAACTTGAATTCTGCATGTTTTTTTGATAATATGTTTTAGTAATATCTGGTAAAATTTCCAGTACCTTGAGCTGTTCTCAGTACAATAGGATAAGCCTCTTCCTGGATACTGATTAATAAAGACCTTGGAAGCTAAAATAATAATATTTCAGTCAGGCATTTGCTACAATACAACAATCATTTCTTATGCATTTAATCACAGAGAATGATACAATTTTTTCCTTTAATTGCTTCCATTTGATCAGTAATCTCCAGCACCTACCTCAGTTTTGATTCGGTCAGCTGCTCTATCCATAAATTCTTGGTGCTTGGCATCCTGAAATTGTAAAAACAATTCAAAAACTTTATCTTGCCTGAAAAAAAAAACATTTAGGAGATTACATTTTTACCTTAAACTCATGGCAAGGAGGCCTTATACCACAAGTGAACTGCTGAATGATATTTTAAAGACTACAAGGGCTCTGTTGTATATTTTAAAAGGGAATGAGGAAGCTTTTGGCATAGTTTTGTTAACTTCTGATCAGAGAAATACTTTACTTTTTAGGTTATTTAACCAGGTTGAGAGAGCTCCTGGTAACCTCGACGTAAAAGTTTACCTTAGCAATGGTCTCTTGCGTCTTTATCACTTTTCTCGCACTATTTATTTTCCATTTCACTAGAGAAGCTGCCAGCGTACCTAATCCCAACGCACCTTTCTTAGTCTCACCAGGCCCTGCCAACGATGCGGCTATGGAGCTCCTCCTCGATTGCGAGCTTCGTCTCCTCGTTGCCTCGTTGGAACTTCTCGGAGCTGAAAGGGCTTCGGACTGTCCTGAAGTAGACGGGGATTGTGGTACGCCTCCAAGAGAGAAATGTCTCTGGCGAGAGGCACCAGTTTGATGGGCGGGGGCAGAAGATGGTTCCAAAGACCCTGGGGATGATTTACGGCGACTGTCGGTTTGAAGAGGTAAGAATGGAAACTCCAAAAGGGATTCCACTATATCTAAACGTTCCTGGAAGTGGAAAAGAAAAGCGAGACTAAGGCTCTGGTTTTTACAGCACAAAACTGTGAATCTGCCTCCAAGTACAGACCTTTCTTAGTCCTCCCAAACCGATTTAAGCGGAAACATAAACTTTCGAGGAAGGGAGGGGAATAGCGGTAACAAAAAATTATTCTCTAAGAAATTAATTTCCTCAAAAAGTTTAAAAAGTGATTTCCTTTTAGTTTGTCTTGAAACTTCCGTGTCCCAATTCAGTAGAATAAAAAGCCAACAAGATTAAAAAGTGGACTTTTACGACGAAGTCTGTGCGATTATTTTGCGACATATACAGCTATTAAAGTTAACAAATTGTACTTCTTTTCTTCCAAACGAAGTTCATCGAGCTTTTATTTACAAGCGTGGTTTATATATTAGGCTAAATTATATACGCATTGCGATTGGCTCTTAGCCACGCGTGAATACAAAAAGAATACAAAGCGGGGAGAGGAGGAAAAAAATTGCCAGCTGAAATTTAATACACGCATAGCGATTGGTTCTTAGCCGCGCGCAGGAGCCCATTACTGCCGCGCGTGAATACAAAAAGAATACAAAGCGGGGAGGTGAGGAGAAAAATTGTCACTTGTAATTTAATAAAAGCATTGCGATTGGTTCTTAGCCGCGCGTGAATACAAAAAGAATACAAAGTGGGGAGAGGAAAAGAAAAATTGTTACTTGAAATTTTATAGACTCATTGCGGATGGTTCTTAGCCGCGCGTGAACACAAAAAGAATACAGAGGGGGGAGAGGAAGAGAAAAATTGTAACTTGAAATTTTATACACTCATTGCGATTGGTTCTTTGCCGCGCGTGAATACAAAAAGAATACAAAGGGGGGAGAGGAAGAGAAAAATTGTAACTTGAAATTTTATACACTCATTGCGATTGGTTCTTTACCGCGCGTGAATACAAAAAGAATACGAAGGGGGAAGAGGAAGAGGAAGAGGAGAAAATCTTACTTGAAATTTAGAAACGAAAGAGATTTTCTACATCTTCCTTGTGATTTTTCGGAAATCAGACGTAAAGATCACAGAAGACGTCAGAAAGCGAAACCACACGTTTGGCGTTTGCTAATTTTTCATTGATCATTATTTTCACGGTAGGGAAACTATCACTATTTAGTAACGACCATTAGAGGTCATAATCTTTGTTATCAAAGAAAGCCCAATAGTTCCTACCCTGCTTTCAGAAGCGTTGTCCTCATTGTCCTCCGGCTCTTTTGAGTTGTCAGCTACTTCTTTTTCAGTTTGTCTATGGGCTGTTTGCTTTAGTATTGTGTCCAGTGTTTCGTTGCTCTCGTTCTGGCTTCCCTTTTTCCTTTCATCTTCTTTTTTGTTCAGTCTCTTTGTTGAACTTGGTTCTGTTACTAGCTGTCTCAAGGAATCGATGAGTTTCTGATTCTTGGCGCTCTCCGCTTTTTGCCTGTTTTACGAATTGCCACTGTCTTCAAAATTACAGTTTCCGAAAGGTCGATAACAACTTACAAGCCATCAAATCATGTAGGATAAAGACATTCACAGTCGAATCTTCACTAGCTCAGCTACGAACACCTTAGAACCAGTCTCTCTCTTTCTACTTTGACCGTTTGTAGGAGAAAGCGTCAAATATTTTAAAATTACCACCACAAACAGCAAAAAATATCGTGAGCAAAACAATTTCATGAAAAAAGGCACAAAAGAGAAGACCTTTTAATTCCTAACTTGTCGATTTTACAAACCTGGTTAAATTGGAGGACAATGATTTTTCAGGCTCTACTCTGGACGCAGCAGGGGTCCATGTCTGGAAGAGGGTTCCCGTCAAAAGTATCTGAAAGGTTTTTCGCGAATAGCTATGTGAACCGAACTGGTACTGAATAAGAGAACTCAATTATGTATACAGCTGAAGACAACCGAGTTACCGTGTGTCCATTTGAGATTTTAACAGAAGAGATTATTTAATTAAGAACGAAAGCATTTGATTTCTGCCATAACCCCTTCAACTGAGACAAAGCACTCCTTTCTTTGTACCATCAAACCTCGTCCAGTAATTATTATACGTCTTATTTCTACAAGCATTGAAAATTTACCATACATTTCTGTCCCTGGTCGACGACGAATCATCTTCATTTTTTATTTTTTCGCATGCGTACTCGGTAATACTGAGATTCGCATCGTTCGGGCGTCGTGAAGATTCTCCCTCACTATGGAAAAAAGTTATGGAAGGAGAGAATATTGAACACGAAAGGAAAGGTTATAGAGTAATTTATGCTCAAGAGTTAGAATAGAATGTTAAACCAACATGAAATATAGGAATTATTTCCTCCCCACCTTCATCTTCGGTAGAAGATGAAGGTGGGGAGTCAAATCCATGAAATCAAATCAGTCAAATTAGTTTATCCGTTTTTTCTAAAGAGGTAATTAAACTCAATAAAGTTTAGCCTATAATAGTTGTTCTGAGTGAAGCTATGTCTATAAAATGTTATCAGCAGTTTCCTCGTCGTTGAAGCCTATACAATCATTCTGTTCCCGTCGACTCGTCTCTGAACCATTTTGTTTACAACTTTTCCGTTACAGATGATATCGACTTCCATTTGCATAACTTTGCTCACCTATTTTCCTTATTTTGACCAATCTTCCCTAGAAAGACAGGTAAATCTTCGAAAGCTGATTTATTTTCCCTGCAGAGGCCCAAGGTGATGGGCGTGTCCCGGGCCCGGGTGCCACTGACACTAAAGCTGCGAGGTGCAGTGTTTGTTGTGTCAACTTGATTCAGGCTAAAGATGCCAAATGGCAGACTCCCTCCCCTAAGATTATTATTACTTTCTGTGCCTCTCAGAGCGGGTAGAACGTTAGGTTCTTCATTTTCCAGTCTGCTCGAATTGGCGCTTGGACCCGCGGATATTTGACGATCGTCTGTAGCCATCTAAAAGCTTTTGCAATCTTTTTTCCTCTTGAAAGTCCGCTTTGTCTCTGGTAAATTTTTCCTACTACTAATATCTTACGGGAAGGCTATTGTTAGTTCAACTTTATGGTAGATAGGGTACGGGTGTACTTTTGCCCGCTGAGTGTGCCTTTGATGACATATGAATGGCTATTCACTGCGCGTGCTCGCCGCCACACTTCCCTTTTAGCCTCCTCATGATTGTATCGTGCATTCTTGATGCGCATGCCTGGAACGCGGTAGTGACGCAAATCTTCAATTTCTCTTGATGTTCCATTTTATAATAACTTTTTCAATTTTTTTTACAGAGTTTGGAATAGTGTGAGTTTCTCTCAGCTCTTGCTTTTTTGGCTTGTTTCCGCACAGATATCAGCGTCAAGGAAAAAGTGCCAAAATATTTGTTTAAAACATAATTAAAGTATGTAGCTTACTGGTGGCTGGTCTCTTGCGCGGCAGTTGTTCGGTGTCGCTAAGTGATGTTTCCTCTTGTGATAGACAACCACTTGCGTGACGCGTGACAATAGATGGAAGTATGCTGTTCGGATTCACGGGAAATAAGAGAGAATTAGTTTCGGTTGCACATTTCTGTTCTGCAACATAACCCTTCGAAAGGTATTTTCACTCCATGACCTTCCTTAACCCTGTCTTTAGTACGTCTCAAAACCCAGTCGTAATTCAATCCTCTTCCCGTTTCATTCTACATTAACTTGCACGCAAGCTACTTATGCAGTGCATATTTGTGATAAAAAGAAACATGTATAATCAAACAGAAGAGAGTAAAGATGAAGTTGATTAGAGCAAGTTTAGCCCATTTCTCCAATTCAATTTTTTTATTCAATCGTCGTCTTGTGGAACTTCATCTCTCAAATAATACTGGCTTTGTGCCTTCTGTAAGGTATACGTTTCAGTCTTGTCTCGTAGACAAGCTTTCGGCATATTATTGTATTGATTTCGATGGGAAAAATGTTAGAATCGTTTGAATAAGACGTCGAACGAGAGATCGAAATAAATACATGTGAAATCAACACTTTAATGTACATCATATTTTTCAATCAAGTGATCGGAGCTAAAAACAGGAAAATAGGAGGAAGTGAAATCTAAGCTTGGCTTACACGCCAGGACGTGTCAGTAAACAACATCCCAAATAATGCAAGTGTAATTTCACTTGATTTTTACATCACCCGAATTTAAAATTTATCGCCTACCCTATGACAGAACTCTGCGAGTCACGGGAATACCCTGGGAGAACGCTGGTATCAAAACAACCATAATAGATATTTTTAGGGTATTCCTTTAGCAGCCGCCGAAGCTTTGTAACTCTATAGATCAGAGGCAAATAGGATGCAGTCTTGGAATGGAAATAATGCGAATTAAACTGGAAAAAAAAAAGAGAAAAAAAAAGAGCTGAACCTGAGCACATTTTCACCCATTAATCTAACTATTGCTCAAAAAATCGCAAGTTCATGCCCTTCGCTCGACATTTTCAAGTAACCTCCGGTAAATTTTGTTTTTGCCATGTAAGCGAGTAATCCACGCACATGACAGGCAGGGAATAATAGCACGACATGTGCACCTCTTGTCACAAGACTGTCACGGAGTTCCCGCGAAGGAAAGTGTTAAATTTAGCGTAAAAAAAATTTTCATACCGGGGGAGGTGTAGCGAGGGTTTTATTTCAAGGAAGGAAAATTGCCATGATAAAAAAAAATCAAAGATTCAATACATCAAAAACAACTTGGTATTAAGGTATTCACGAATAAGGCAATGTTCATTTTTGGTATTTTAATCGTGCGACTCGTCAATTTTCTTTTTGTCAGAATGGTACTTACTGTACCCTACATAGAAGTAATTTTGTTATGACGTCATGGCGTCCTATTCTTATTGTTTTGGTACAAAGGTCGGTATAGTTACCATTCAAATAGGTAGACGAATTCATTAGCAATTCAGTCGTCCACGCATTAATTCTAGACGTAGGAGATGTCTCTTCTTGGTAAAATTCTGGTCGCTTTTCTCTTCCTTATCGGAGGCTGTTTTCCAATTGTGATCCGGAAAAAGAAGATGAGATGCCAGAGGAATGGAAGGAGTTGTTCTTGTACAGATTATCAAACATCTAGTCAAGAATCGATCGACTCTATCGACAGTATGTCCGTTGAAGAGCCAAGCACATGGCAAAGGCCAGCCAAAGGGAGGAAACGAACGAGGACCATCTCAGGAGCTTCGAACTTTTCTGGTACATCTACGTTCTCAACACTGAGTGAGAAAGACAGGATGTGGCTCCAAGCTTTTCGTTTTGCGGGAAGATAAAGTTCGTGACGAACTACCTCAGCTGTGAAAGCGCTCCATTGTTTACGTTTCGATTTTACAAATGTGAAAGGACAGAAGCATTTGACGAATCGATAGACCGTGCGATGTTGATCGCCTTCGCTGGCAAAAGACTTTGATATTACTAGAACTCTTAAATCGTATATTTGGTTTAGTTAAGAAGTTAACATAGTCTATGTATAAATTTTCAAAGTTGTTCGTTTTTTGAAATGATCGAAGAAGTGCAAATGTTGTAAACATGTCGTTACTAAAGGAATTATTGAATATGGACGCGCTCTTTCTGGAGTGATTGTTTTTTGTTATTTAAATGTTAAAATATATTTTTGGTGTCCGTTGAAAAAGTCGATGATTTTATGTAGATTTTAGAACATTGTCATGTAGCTAGAGAGCGTAGTTATTTTGAATACGAACTCTTTCAGGAGAGAGACGTTGTACGTAGGTGGTGCCCACCAAAGGCTGAATATTGATTTTTTTCTTCGATTCCTTATGATAGTTCTAAATTTAAAATATAAAATTCGATGCAAACTATTTGAATTTTTGAATTATGTTGTAAATTTTGTACATATCGTTAAAATTTTTGTCCAAAGGAAGTCATATTGTTTCGATGAATATAATAAAGTATAAGTTGACATGTTGAAGATGAATGTACGATCGTTTATTTATACGTAGTGAGCCTAATTCGCATGTGAAACTTTTACTAAACTTAAATCGGACCTAAAGTCCGATCGTTTGGCTGAATACCCGCCCTTTGATTCTTCCCTGACCTATTCTGAATTCTCTTCGGTCCGTTTGATGACCTTGAAGGACAAGAATTCCGAGCCAAATTCCATGGAATTCCAGTTTCAATTTGTGTTTATACCGGTTACGCCACGATCCCGTGTGTATCATGTGACAGAAAACGATATTATTTATTGATCAATGAAAATTTCCCGCGTTTCGGTTTCGTTTCGGTTGACTTCCTGTCTAACCTGTCAAACACTGCGGGATTCTATGAACGAGCGAGGCCTGGAGTCAAAACAATATGGCGGCATGTGCTCAAGAAGAAAACATCACAGATACACACGAGCAAAACGTGAAACACATGCTTTCTCGCATTGCAAGCACTGATGCTGTTGTAAAAAGTCAGCAGAGAGGCGAACCAGAATTAGCTGTGGATGAGAAAATTGCTATTTTACACGAGCTTTACGATAAAAAACCAGCTTCTTTTCTTATGCGATTTGGAAGATATCTTTCCGAAAAAGACCTAGGAAATTTCGAACATTTAAGGGGAGAATATGAGATAGATTTTCGTCTTAAAGAAGTAAAAAATATCCTTGATGGTAAGAAGAAGAAAACAGGGATACGTAACAGACGATATGAATGTTTACAGCGATTAATGAAAGACACGGATTTCTTCAGCGAAGAGCAGATGAGAAAAAGGTCCCCTCTTCTTTACGAACAATATATAGGTCAGTATCTTACTGCAGAGGAAAAACTTGACCGGGACAGAGCTGAAGTTGGAGACGATCTGTGCCTGTCACAAATGATCATGAATAGACAAGAGAAGGAAATGAACGATTGGTATCTCAATTATCAGAGAGATCAGGAGGCTTGTCTAGAAGAAGAAGAGGAAGAATCAGATATGGAGAGTGACAGCTCAATCGATAAAGGTGATTATTTAATTTAGTCACCTTCTCCATTGTAATATACACCCAACATCGAAGAGGTGTGGCATAGGGCCTGTTTAAATATTTTTTCAAGTAAACCAACATAATTTTGAACCCTTCAGATTCAAAAATTAATAATAAAAGTGATGACAACAAAAATTTTGGGTATCAGAATCTGGCCTTCTTCAGGTGTGTGTGGAGGGGGCGGGGGGTTAAAAGAAATGGAATGTTCCATTCACCTGCATACAGAGTTCACTTCAATTAGGAAATGTCCTTTGATTCCACACCAAAATCTTAGATATTAGATGATAGGAAGTGTATGGGAAACAACATAGAGAATTGATGTTTAGTCCTTAGGAATAAAGGGTTAGGTTGAGGAAATTGTTTGGATATAGCATGAAATTCTCACAGCACACCAACAAAAATTTTATGTAACTATGTTGTGTAGCTCTCTGGGTGAGAGTTATGCTGAAAAAATGATTGTCCAATTGTGACTAATGTTTTGACAACTTGAGCAAAAGTCTTCATCAGGGCCCAGTTGTTCAAAGGCTGATTAGTGCTAGCACAGGATTAAATTTTAATGCAGGTTTCTATATTTCTTTTTTCCAAAGCCTTTTAGAGAAAACTTTCCCTATTCTTTTTAGAACATCCAATGATCAAATTGCAAGCAAAAAGATTTCAACTGAATTTTCTTTTGCTAACCATGGGTTATCTTAACCCAGATTTGAACAACCCAGATTATAATTGCTCGTAGACAATCAGCTGTGTTATGATGGTCGTCAGTCTCTAGTCACTTCTGTAAACACCTTTAATTCTTACAGTGGAACCTGGGAGTCCAATCAAGGGATGTCCTACTAAGGAAGAAAAACTTATGCTCCATGAAGAATTTCTTAGTGCAATGCAAGACAAATTCATGAGAGGTGAAGAAGAAGAGTTTGACTATAGTTCAGTTGACGCAAATGATGAGTATGATGATCTGACCATACGAGGAAGAGATGAAGAAGAACAGTACTTTGACAGTGAAGACATGTAAGTGTCTCACCTTTTTAAATCTATCAGCTGTATACTGAACATGAAAACTTGACCCATGAGTTACCCATGGGAGGCATGGTGGTCTAATGATCAGTGCACAGGATCCTACATCAAAAGGTTCAAGGCCTGATGATCAGTATAGAGGATTCCACATCAAAAGGTTCAAGGCATAATGATCAGTGCACAGGATTCCACATCAAAAGGTTCAAGGCTTAATGATCAGTGCACAGGATTCCACATCAAAAGGTTCCAGGAATAATGATCAGTGCATAGGATTCCACATCAAAAGGTTCAAGGCATAATGATTAGTGCACAGGATTCCACATAAAAAGGTTCAAGGTTGGCAGTGTTGACGGCTATTGAATCTTTGGAGTCAGTGAAAGAGAAACTTAATAGAAAAGCAGACACTACCAGAATATCTCTATTATTTTCATGTGGATTTATTTGTTTCTTCCTGTTGATTATTTATTATGAATTTAGAATTCATCACCCTTAAATAACCAACCATGAAGCATGGACAATTTTAAAAAAGCAGAAATAAATAATCATTGTACATCTAGGAGCTGTCTCCGTCCCCTATGTGACTTTATCATTTTAAAATTTACTTAACATAAATGGCCACATTACGTATCATGATGACAAAAAAAAAGAAACAAAACAAAGATTTTGTGAGAAATTTACTCAGACACAAAATCATTCAAATAAAAGAAGATAAGTCACAAAAAGGACTAATTATTATTGTCAAAAGGTACAATAAGTCGATATTGACCCGGACTTCATTGTAATATGAAAAACATAGACTATGATAATGACTTCCCCTTAGATTATCTAGAAATTCAATTACTACAACATTTTCTAGAAATTCAATTACTACAACATTATCTAGAAATTCAATTACTACAACAGACAATAGTCATCCTCAGGACTACTCACAACGAGGCCATCAAGCTTTACCAACTATTATTACTGTACTTACAGTATGATTTGACCCAAGTTTTATGTTGTTGTTAAGAGTAATAATTCTCCAAAGATCAAAGAAATAACTGACATTTGTCCTTTGGAAAAGAGGAAATAACAAGAAGAAAAAAGAAAAACCTCATTACAAATGAGTAAAATAGAAAAAAACGTGGAAAATATCCTGAAAAATACCTTTCTAGAGGAAGTCATCATCTAACAAAAGAAATTTGTAGGAAATGAAATTCCTATTTATATTGTGTTTTTCTGAAATGGTTTGTTTCAGCCACATTATCACAATTCCTGTTCTAGCAAATATTGTCACCAGTTTTGAAATTCAGGTTTGAATACATGAATGTCATGAAAGAAATACTGTTAACTTTATTTTAATTCAGTTACATGTGAGTGTAACATGCCTATTTTTCCTTTGTTTTGTTTCGAACTACTTTCCCTCATAGCCTTTGCTGGTTCCTGTCATAAGGAACAATAATAGCTAACTAGTTTAATTCCTGATGTATTTGTAAGAAAATCCTTCAGGATGTTTGTGGTGCCACTAGTCAGCTACGCTTGGACTTGCGTTGATCATCTTCATCAAATGTTGATAAATCTAGGGGAAAAAAAAATTGTTTATTATAATAAGTAACTCTGACAGTAAATGGCATGTGACAAATCAGTATTCTAAGCTTTTTAACCATCCTAAACTACGCATCTTGGTTTTATAGGGTTTCACTGATAAATTTCTTATCTAAATCAAATAATATCATTATTCAACACTGGAATGATGCTGAATTTAAAAAAAAGTACACCACCTACCAATTGCAACAAATTATTGTTCCTTTTTTGTTACTGCATAATGTTTGAAAGCTTAACCCTTAAACTCCCATAAGTGACCAAGACAGTTCTAATTTCTCCTTACAATATCAATACTGATCCAACACTAAATTCTCAGAACTAACATTATAAGAATTGTATAGTTGACAGTAAGGAGAATTACAAATTTGATCTGGAAGGAAGGGTGTAGATACAACTACACATGAGGGAAGTATTATTTATAGCATGACACATTTTGATGTCCATACATATTGAACAACCATTATTTTGCAGATTGTGAAATGAGCTTTTAAGAAAAGGAAAAGAAAGAAAAATGAGTTGTGTAATAAAATAAATTGTTACCATCAAAAGGGCGTGATTCATAGCCAGGGCTTCCAACTGGAGAATAGGGTTCAGGACGTATCCACTCTTTTGGAAGACATTTAAGGAGAAACGGCAAATATGAACCAACAGATGCTAATCTGTTCACCCAACCCGGAATTGATTTGTTACACAAAGCCTGTAATCAATAACACCACATCACACATTATGACAAGCTGAGCACATAGGATATATTTCACAAAATTTAATGAACATGACTCCTAGAGTGGTTCCACTGTTTTATTGAAAATTTTTACCAAAAAATTCCCTAGCAGAGTGTCATTTATAGCCATGTGTACCACCCAGAAAGATTCTAAATGCAAGACGGAAAGAGAGAGAAAGGGCAGCAGTCATACATGATATCTTGCTTATTAACTGGATAAGGCAAAGCTGAAATGTAAAAATTTGTGACACTTCACAGTCTGTTACTTATGATCGACCCACATCAAGTTGACAATCTTCATAGCAGTTTACTTTCAACATTGACTAAGAAAGCAGTCTGGTTGTAAGGACACAATGTACTACCAGAAATACTATTTTTGTCATACTTTGATAGAGAGACTTTTCTCACCTGACAAAATTCTGAAGTAAAATGATTACAATTTCTGGAACAGAAATCAACCATAATCATAATTAAAAGGCATTATAGAAAATCAATTAAAAAGAACTTCATTTCTGATTAAAATCTTATTTCTTTTAAGTAAAAGTTCAGTTACTGTTCCAATAACAGAAACCAAAAATTAACTTTAGCAAGTAACACTGCATTAAATTCTTATCTCCAAACAAATTCTTTCAAAACTGTAGTCAACCACTGGAAGAAAACAGCCTCTTCATACTTGTCTATGAGATGGTACGAACGTCCTTGGTATGTGTTTCCCATTCTTTTCAAGAGAGCCTCTACTTCACTTGGTAAAAGTTTTGTTGTTCCAATTTTTATAGTTTCCCTTGAATAAAAGAGTAAATAGGTAAAGAATTACTCAATATATGTTTATGTGAACCAGAAGAGGGAAAAGTTAGCTGAGAAAACAATTGACCCTTTAAGTCCCAAGATCTGATTGTTAATTCTCCCCTCTAGCTGCAACTCATTTCCTTGTGAATTAGTAATGAGAATTTGGTATGGGATCAAGATAACAACTTCTGCCTAATAAGTTTGAGTATTTTTATTACCTGTGTGCAGGTTAATCTATGGATATTATAGGGAGAAGTTACATGCTAATCACTTTTGGGAGTTGAAGGGTTAACAAACAGATTCCATGTTACTGTGTGTCTGTTGAGTAATAGTTCACAGATGACATAAAAATGTGGTAAGAATAAAAAAGTGGTCCACAAGGCCTGGCTGATTGTGCCTCTGATGTTCTTACCACATTTGCCCTCTTTTCTGATCTATTTGTTTTATATATTAAAGAAGCAGCAAGTTTTTAATGGTGAGGTCATCTGTATATCTCTCCTCCAATAGACCATAAGTAAGAACTGATAAAAATGCATGTCTAATTCTGCTAAATATAATATACTGAAAACAGAAGAATGTTAATATAACTATTTTACTGGGTTTTCAGAGTGTGGTTGAGGGCATGGTTGTCTATTAAAACTAAAAGATGCATTCAGTGGGCATTGGACACACTAACCTGAACTTAAATTCCTCTCCTAAAACTTCAGGTGAGTTGGGATTCATTTCAAATATTCCTGAAAAGTTGTAAGGGTGTCCTCCAAATGCATATTCTAGAAGAAGAGAATAAATTGACAAAAGATACAAGATAGGTAATTTCGTTGTTATCTATAAAAGATAAACAAAACAATAATGGAGTTTTTGCTATTAGTAAACACTGCTATTTATTTCCCAAGAACTGATTGTTTATTCTCCCCTCTGGCTGCTACATGTTTCTTTGCAAATTAGTTACAAGAATTTGGAGTTAGATCAAGATAACTTCTACTTGATAAGTTTGAGTATTCTCATTACCTGTTTGCTGGATAGTTAGAAGATATTATAGGGAGAATTATTATGTTAATCACTTCTGCATGCCTTTCTGATCACCAACTTACTGGAGTTCTTTAACTTTAATTGCATTTTATTTTCCTTTGGTAAGACGGAAAGGATCAGTAAAACAATTATACATCATTGTCCATCACATTTTATACATTTTTTTTTCTAACAGCATGTTACTGCACACGATATGACTGCCAACATAACAACATCAAGGGTAGTGTTTCTTTTCGTGTATACCTTACGAAAATGTATAAGAAAGTGTGCCTCAGTTGAACTAATGAGTTGCATGCAAAGAATGTCAAACAATACTATATGGCCTGAGGATAACATTTAAAGATATTCGTTGTGAGAAAACAAATGGCATAGCGATATGAATCATTATTGCGTGAGGGAAATTAAATATTATGAAATATAGATTAAAAAGATAACTAAGCAAACGAGTAAATGAATAAATAAATAAATAAGTTAATTAAATAAACAATCGTAATTCTTGAAACTTCTAATTACCTGTCGTAAATCTTACAAGCACTGAGATCCGTGAGTAAATGTCTCAGTCTTTGATATTAATTTATTCTATACGCGCTTTTTCATTTTATTGTCTAGGACTCAGTGAAATAATATCAATAATGACGAAAAAACAAGGAAAAAACGAAGAGTAGCTAAACTACGAATTTTTAAGGAGACTTTTGTTATACTAGCTTCTCAATTCAATTAAGCCAAGAGTTATTACCTTTCCCGTGTACAACTACTCCTGAATGGAACACGCCAAGACCAACAGGGAAAGTGTATTGGTTTATCCAGTACTACAAAGAAGAAACAATAAGAACTGTAAGATTCTTCTTCTTAAACACTGTCGGAAGATGCTTAATGACTTCTATCACATCTGTTTCCTCTCACGAAATATTTTCAACTTGATCTCTCAGTGATAATAATCTGACTTTACCCACCATGTCGTAGACGTTTATCACTACCGGGTAGCCGGACATTTTTGTATTAGATCTACGGCTTGCCGGCACGATTAAGGGAATTTCTTTACTGTACAGTACTATTGTCAAACATCTGGAAGCATCTTGAAAAACATCCTTCGAGGCTGTCAACCACTACAAATTATTTACTCATGATATCGACTGCTGACCGATTTATTGCATAACAAACAAAATGGCGGATGATGTGTTTGACTCCGCTACTACTAAAAAGGTTTGTATACGTCACAATTTGACGAGAAATGCGTTGCTTGACAAAAAAAAATGTTTATGGTTTATTAGTCAATCATCCTATGTTGTTCCTGTTTTCAGTACAATTGGAATTTTAAAAAATTTATCGAGCGCACGCCTTGTGCTCGGGAGTCACTCTTGTATGGTATCGGTGCTGGCATGATAGCTGGTTTTGGTTGCTTTATGAAGACAAGTGAGTTGACCCAATATTTTATAGATAGCTTCATATTTTTTAATAAAATTTGGCTAGTCTCCCATAAGGAATGATTGTGAAAATCTCTATTGCCTGGTGTTGATTTGTTGTAATTGCAGTGCACGTTTTCAAGTCCTGTCGATTTGCAGTTGGTGGCTTTGCCTTGATCTCTTTTGGAAGCTGGTAATGTGCTCATTGTCATACTTTCACAGAGTCAAGCACTTCAAATTTTTATAATGATTTAAAAATTTATTGTGGCGATCCTAACCCGCAAACTTGCGCAGATCATGGAGGAAGGGGCAGGTTCAACCATTATCTTGTTACACACATAAAGGATGATTATGAACATTCTCCCGCTGGAGATTTGTTGTTGGGTTGAAAAAAACTTCAGATGATACATAGCCATTGTTACTCAAGACAGTTAAGTATTTTCCCTTAAAATGTTTTGACTCGTCTTCTGATATTTAGGGAGGTATGCAGGTACATCAAACAAAAAGAGAAAGAAGCAATCAAACAACATGTGGACATGTTAAATAAGTACAGAGAACAAAGGAGAGAAGAGGAGGGTAGTGAAGAATGAGCACTGAAAGAAATTAAATGTAACTGAACCCTTTTGGTCATAAAAGTTTTATTTTCAGCTTTCCTATGTCCAGTGTGTTGATTTAAGTTCAATTTAGCTGTTTGATGTCAAAGCACTCTAGACAATCATAAGATTTTTTAATTTGAATGTAAACAAAGAGGATCCATCTGTTGCCAAGATTCTTTAGTTACAACAAGTCAATTAGTTCACAGGGCTTCTTGAGTGTGTAAGTTTCATGTTAGAACTCAAATTTTACTTATGTGTGAACTAAAATTGCATTTGTTTATGGTTATATAATATCTCTAAAATCTTTGTACAAAATAAAACTAAATGATTGTATTTGATTTGTTATGGCTGAACTATTGATCTATTGTCATTCAGTAAGCTTGATACAGCAGCACATACTACAATTTTAATTGAGTGAGGTGTAATGGAAGCTTAAGAAGCACATTTTGTTGTTTAAAATTCAGTAGCTGTCATGGGCCATTTGCTCCTTTTCCAGTGACAGCATTTCGTTTGACATGATGGGCTTTCACATTTGACGTTTGGAGACACAGCTCTTGAGATTTTGTTACCAATGGTAACACTGAATATGAAAGAGATCTTTGCAGTAATGAACACTACTTGAACAGTGAATCCCGAATCCCAGGATCCTGTACAGGCCTGAATTATTTTTTCAGGCCTTATTTTCACAACTGTGCAAGTAATGTTCATTACTGCGAAGATTTCTTTCATATTCATGCCTAATCTGTAGTTCAAATATATGACTTTCATATATTCACAGTCATTTATTGGTAACATTGTTATTTTACAGTCAAACTCCCAGCACAAAACTTTTTCCATGCCTTACTCAACTGATAATTATAGTGAGAACAAGCCAGCTATTTGAAGTTACTGAAGTCCATACGTAGCTTGATGGATGGCTGTGCTGGTGCCACTTTAGCCTGGACAGCTGGTTGCTTTGGTTTGGCTGATGCCTGATTAGCTCTGACTGCACTTTCTAAACGTGACTTTAGTTCAGGCTGTGAACTCATGATGCTACGGAAAGGCCCAGGGTATTTGGGTCCAATTTTCATAAGTTTCTGCAGAGCCTGATCATGAAGGTTCCTGGTTATCTTCCCTCCTTTTGGGAGGTTAGCACTGTCTGACAGCAATGATATAAGGATTGGTACAAGCAATCCTAGCATATGCACCTCTGAAACAAACACAAAATGAAAACAGAATGTTGCAAGCCAGTATAAGTTCCACAAATGCTCTCAATCCTATAAATAACTTCAGATCAGTTATAGGTTTACCAATCTATTCTCTTTGGTATGTGAAGATTGCTTCCTCCCTGTGAAAACTCACTTATGGATTCCAAAACAGGATTCAGTGCATGAAAGCAGGGAATGTATGATGCCCGATGAGCACAAGAACATAGAACTCAAGAAGAAATGAGTTTCCTAAGCAATTACTAGAAGTATGACTTCACTGTGAAAAGAATTCTCTAGGCATTTAAAATGACTTGACTCAATGTGATGCAAGAAATCCCTTCGAGGGTGTATGTAAAGTTGAAATAAAGGCCTGAGGTTCTTACTTAAATGGTCATCTGTCCGTTCCACCAAATTCTCCAGGATCTTGATGGCAGCTAAAGTGATTGTCACCTGTTCCTCGCTGCTTGGCTTCTTAACACACATGTCATTCAAAATCATCACAATGTGAGGAGCTAAAGCATTGATGAAAGGATAGGCCACACTATGCTCTCTACACTGGAAGACAGACTCCAATGTCTGTAGAGCCTTGAGCTGAATCTGAATTAAAGGGGAAAGATATCATCAAAGAAAGTTCAATTTTTATTTATTGTAAATTTATTTTCAGTTTCAAACTTCCATATGTTGTTACTCTCTCAACAAAAGGTATAAAGATGATATTTAAGTGTCAATCAATTCAAAGCTTCAACCTTTCTCACCCCCCCGGAGCAAACCCCTGAAGTTTTGAAGATTGGTGCCCCACCCGAAATGCCCCACCCATTTTTTTTTGTAAGATGACCATGACTTTCAACACATTGACCAGTAGACATTTTAACCCTTTTCTTCTTAACCATTTGATCACAGAAGTGAACTTTTTTTCCTAAAACACCTCCATAGTTTAAGATGTAATAGTTGTCTTCTGCTGGAAAGACTTGTCACTTTCAGCCAGGCAACATTCAAATTCCCCACCCTCCCCTCTCCCTTACTCAGCCACAGAAGACAGTCAGGGTTTTGGATTGATTGGTGCTTTAAGATGATGACAATAGCAATGATAGAACTGTTATCAATATTCTAGAGAAGAAGGCACATTGCTGACATTAACTTTACACCACTTAAATAAGGAGCAACACAACACACCTGCATTGTTGATTTAAGGCACCTGGTAAATAATTTAATACACTGTTGCTGTAAGTCTGATGCCAACACCACTTCTTTTGGTGCTGAGAGAATGAAGATGGCCAATGCAAGCATCACCACAGAGTCATCCATTGCAGGTGATTCTGATACTGCACCAAAAGCTGCAAACTCCTCATTAGCTTTGGAATCTGACAAAACTGTGGCTAAAGCACTGTGATCAAAAGAAACAAAATTAAAGAAGATTCAAATATGTCATCAACGATACAATGAATACCATTGCCAAGGCTGCTGAAGAATCTACTGACATGTTTTGTTTCCCATATCAAGTTTGTTCTCTCAGGTTACCCTTTAACTTCAGAAGTGATTTACATAACACTTCTTGTGATTCCAATACGTTATTTTGCAAAACCGTAATGAGAGCAAACAAGCTTATCAGCCTGAGATGTCATCTTGATATAACACCAAATTCTCCTGTCTTATTTACAAGGAAGTACATGGAAGTCAGAAGGGAGAAATACTTATTGGATCTTGGAAAGAAATAGAGATCTATAGCAGCTCTGGTTTGTAACAATTGGAAAAAAAATGGGGTGTAACAAAAAAATTGAAACAAAACATACTGGGCTGAAAACGTGTGTCTAACAAAACAAGAAAATTAGAATCTGTCCTTCTTTAAGTCTGCAAATAAACAATTTAAACCTTTGAAGCAAGTCAATCCAGTCCTTGGAACATTTAGGGTGCTGTGTGAATGCAGATGTGGTAAGTTGTTTTAAAGCCTGTAGTGCAGCTGAAACTGTTTTCTGTGAGGTGGAGTCTTGAATTGAGGCCACCTCACGCAGGGCACAGGTCAAAAGGTAAAGTACACTTGGTAGAACATTAACAGAAGTCTCTGGTGTACAAAGGCCAGGGACACATGGGAGGATTGAAAGTGCTTCAGATATAAGTTTGGAGCTCTCCTCTGTTAATGCTAAAAGCAAAGCAATACATAATTCATTTACTTTGTATTCATAGAACATAATTATACATTTGAAAAATTTGAATCTCCTTTGTAAAGTAATGGTAGACATATAATGGCCACAGCCTTTAGCCCATGCACATTTGTAATTTCATGCAATCAGATCCTGGGCATTATCAGTTTAATCTAGGATGCATAGGGGCAAGGGGTTGGGGGGAGAAGAGAAAACAGATTGAAGAAAAAGTGGTAAAGTTTGTCACATTTTTGACTGTAATTATAGACTATGACCCACACTTGCTGATAGTTCACCTGCTTAAAAATTCAGATCTTTCTCTGTCCACAGTTTATAACAAATAAATGAATATTTATCATCAATATCAATGCTTTCTTGAGAAAACTCACATCTAAACCCTGAGCCAATAGACACCAACATAACTGGCTGCTGGCTGGATGCGGCAGATGAAGGGAGAAGGTTTGGAAGCTGTTTTGTGAGGATGCACATACAAATCTCCATCACACCAAACACTAAGGATCTTCCAGGCGTTAAGTCATCCTCTCCCTCTGCATCTATACTTGAGCTGCTCTCAGAACTGAGGAGGGAAAAAAAAGTGACCACATCAATTAGTACATTTCTCTTACTAACTCAATACCATTTACCTCAGTACTTCAAATCTCAATATTTTGACGTGTAACAACAAAAAATGAGATCTATTGGGAATGATGCCCTAAAGTAAAGTTTTTCTCTTACAAACTGAATACTGGACCATACAGTTGAACCATTTTCCCCTCAGAGGCTTGCTCAGTGTCCAGTCTAAATGTTTTTCAATCTTAGCATTGGGTCAGAATTTAGCAATTGTTCACCCCTCCTGTTTATTTTTCTCTTTTTTTTTCATTTTCATTGAGCAATTTTTTTTTTCTGTGGGGTCAATGGCTCTTTTAAAAATTATCCTTTGGCACTTGATTTACTAACAATGTATCACATGACATTTTGTGTGTTTTAAATTTCAACATATAAAAATGTAACCTTTGCTTTACAAATGTGAAAGTGATTGACCCTACTGATACTTATCACAAGCAACTAAATGAACTGTAAATAATATTCACTCTGTTTGATTTTATCAGCATATTATTTTGATTTAACTTTAGGTAAGCACTCTAGTTAATATTACTTTGTGGTTGCAGCCTTTTTTCCTTCTAATGATTCTTGAGCAGCTTTAACAATCTGTCTGGCAACTCTCATGGCAGCCAAGTGGATATCACGAGAGTCCCTTGTGAGCAGTACTCTGTGTAACACACTTAACATTTCAACACCGAGGATCTGAAGAAGAAAATCAAGATTAATAAATATGCTTGGTTTAATTGGGGGAGAGAAAAGAAAATGACGAGGAAAACAAATTCAAACTATCATCTAATTCAAACAAAATTGTCAGTTCAGGAATAATTTGAAATGTCACCAGAAAAAAATAATAGTGATATGGTTTAAAATCATTATGTTGCTCCATAACTCATACCAACTGGAAATTCCAAAGAGGGTGTTTGGAGTGGGTGGGGGTGAGAGGGAGGGCTGTGAAGTTAGGCAGTAAAGGTAAACAGAATTAACTTGGGGTTAGGAGAGTGGAGTTAAATAAGAAGGTCCATGAGGGAAGAGGTAAGGATACTTTCTGAAACATTGCCTTAGTTTGAAAACCCCCACATGGTATAGTTAAGTACTATGGTTCCCTTTGACATGTGGAAGATAGATTCAAGATATTACTTGTTCATTTCCTATGAGAGTGCGTGGCCACTTAGAATCCAGTAAGCTGTAGAATGCATTTAGACAAGCAGACACAGTACTGTTGGGTTGTGTTGCTCTGGATGAACACAAGGATTCCATGCAAATTCCAACCAGTAAATGAAAGTAGTCTGCATTGATATCTGTTGGTGTCTTAGCAGGTGTCACCATATCAACAGAGCTTGTGTTTAGAGGCTCAGTTGGTATTCCTAATTAAAAAAAAAACAATAATGATAAAAATAATAATAATAATAATGATTACAATAATAATAATAATAATAATAATAATAATAATAAAACCTAAATTTTTTTTTCGTTCATGTAACAGTCATTAGCACTACAATTTAGCTCCAAAGTAATTAGTTTTTCAAGGTGGTGACTAATTACATAATGTGGGATTATGTGAACCAATAAGGCACTGATAAATTTTGTGGATGGGAGATTACATATTCCGTTTTTTACACAATTCATAGACCATTTGCTTATTTCTCTATTGGTTTATTTCTTTAATAAGTTATGACCAAATGGTTTGTGTCTTTGTGATCTGAATCCTGTGTTAAATTTCACTCTAAAAGTTGTCACATTAACATCAAATCATTCTAAATAAATATTGTCTCCAGTTAGGGACTGCATTGCTGATAGATATGGCTGTGTCAATATTATTATAGCCAGGCAGCATTCATTAGAATGGGGACATATTTAGTGCTCTTACCTTGCTCCATATCACGTTTGGTGCTTTCAAATCCACCATTGTTCAGCCACAAGGAGGCTGCATGAACAATGGAAGGCCAACAACTTTGGTAATGTGGCTTGGCTTGCTCCATTGAGTCAGGACTAAAAAACGAAAAGAGTTGCAAAAAAGACAATATGATTCAAAACACAGATCTTGAGAAAGAAAAGAACTGGTGTGACAGGGGTGCAAGGAAAGCTGCTTGCATACAGATTTGTACAGTTAAAGTTGCTGTTTTGATCTAACACCAAATTCTCATAACTAATTTAAAAGGAAATGAGTAGCAGCTAGAGGGGAGATAAGCAATCAGATCTTGGGTTACAGGGTTAAGAAAAGAGGTATTGACAGCCATGGAGTCATGTAGGCATTGATGTTCCACAATGAGTGAATGGAAAACATCATTGTGGACCAAAAATTTGTTCGTAGAGTACAAAAGCTACAGAAACAACATCTCAAACCTGTAGAACATTCCACCATGAGGAGGCAACTGAGATGCATACTCTGCAGGTAGAGAAAGAAGTGCATGATCTCTCAGTGCACCAAGCCAGTATTTACTGAGAGACTTCAACTCAGGTTCTACCAGCTCCAAGAGGCTCCCAGCTGGTTCAGAAAACTCTTCATCTCCAGCATTTACTGGTGATGGACTGTCCTGCTGCTTCATGGCAACTATATACACCTGTAGGAATTCATTGAAAAAAAAAACAACTCAGATTCATTGGTGATAAATGTCTATGAAGTTTATCATTAAGAGGCATCTTCCCCCTAAATCTTCCCTCAAGAGTTGTTAAGGCAGAAAGGTGACGTAGATGAATATACATACATGAGTCAGAGTTTTAAATTCATACAATTTGTTTCATGTGTTAGAAGTCAACTGAATGACCTGTAGCAATTGAAATCTGGGAAATTAAAAATTGACTAATCAGGATGTTATACATAAAGTAAATATTTCAACTTGCTGTTGATGGAACAATTAAGGCTTCCACAAAAAGTTTGAGAGAATATTAAGAGAACATCAAGGGAGGTTCCAAATTTTCAGCAGAATACCAGTGGACTTGCTTTACTACCACTGATGTTATAAACTATCAGTACCTCAGCCCAAGCTTTCAAAACTGCTAGTTTCTCCATTGTAGTAGCTGCTTCATTGTACAGCTGTAAAGAAGAATCTTTAGCCTCCCCAACTTTTGACAGCTTGGTGACTAACAGTTGCTGAATCCTCCGTACATCATTAAGATCTCTTGCGATACCACTAGCAATCCATGCACTACAAACCTGAGAATAAAGCAATATTATATATGGTCAATACATCTGCTGTGATGCCAATTAGACCAAGTATAGTCTGACACAACCTGTAATCATTTGTAAGTGTTTTTGTGACTTGCTTATCACATAAATGAAAGTTTTGACAACACAGAGTCATTTTACAAAACAACAACACAATTAATGAAAATATATTTCTTATACCATAGACTTCACAGGTTCCAACTCTGAAAAAGGTTTCAAATCAGTGACATACCAAGGTATTCTCTGTTGGGC